AGAACAAAAAGGCAAAGTAAACAGTTATCACATGGGGAAAGGTAGGTTTGTGCTTTATACTCAAAGGGCTGACGCGAAACCTATACAAAGATAAAAAGAGACATTTCCAGCTATAGCATTTTACCTTTTTTTTTCAACCAGAGATAAAAGAAATTTATCAGATTTCTATGTCCACATTTTACTTTCTAAAGAAAAATGGGCACATTTTTTTTAATACTGAGTTTTCAGAATTCTCACTGAAGTCAAATGAGAGGGTAAATGCCCAATGCTCTTGAAAAATAGTCCCTATCCTGCAGTATCCCTTTCCTGTGCCTGAATGAATCCCCAGTATGAAAAAGCTGGCCCTCCCACACAAAATAAGTGGATGACCCTACAAACACTGCTGCATGCCCCAGAAATTTCAGCACATGAGTCAGAGTATGCAAAATCAAGTTTCAAGCAAAACCCAAGCAACAAATAGGAAAATCATCTTCCTAATATCAAGTGGAATTGCTACAGGTTGCATTTTTGGATTTGTAGATATGGGGTAGGAAAACAAAGAAAAGTTTTGACTGGCTTGTTCACTAACTATATCTCAGTGGTCACAAAACATTAAAAAGGAATATTCAACTGGAAAAGTTCTAAGCATACAGGGAGCTTCAAAAGTGTCTTTTTGTTGTATCATTTTAGTTGCTATATTTCTCACTAGAACAATATTATTCTGCTTGTATTTAGCATTGGTTTTATAGTCAAATAATTATTCTTTCTGCTATCAGAGTGCATGATTATTGTGTATTTATCCCTCCAGATATGTATCATTAACATCTCTCTTCCTTATTTTTATACCATTTATAGCTACTAAAATCTGGAAATTATAGTTTCCCATTGTCTTCACAGACACAAGTAGGAATAAAAATAAAAACATACCTTTTCCTCAAGTAGTCTACTAACCAAAAGGAGAAAAAATAAGCTTTGTGTATTTCTAAATAGTCCTGTAGGAGTCATATACTTTTACTACGTGCTATATATCGTCTGGTTTCTCCCTCTGTTATGACATCTCTGATTACCTTAAAAAAAATTTTCAAAAACGTTAAGGCACAAACCTTTGTATGGAATACTTTTAGCATGCTTTTTATTCTGGCAAGATTAATAATTATCCTATAAGCATGGCACAGTGTTCTAAAATGTTTTTTTCTGCTATGAGTTAGCATTGTGCACATGGGTGTAAATGTGGAAAGAAAGGTTATTTCACAGCAGAGAAATGTATATTTAAACAAACTGTGATTGTGGTAAAACTGAATAAAAAGGAAAAGCATGATTTTTTCCCATCACAGTTATTCTGAATTTAAAATATCTGTAGCGAGTTTCCAAAGGACACTGGGCATTTGTAATGAAAATACAAGCTACTGAAATTATTGGGAGATAATTGAGAGAACCATAGCAAATGTCCCAGGGCTTTGGGTGAAATTGTCCAGAAAGAGATCTGCTTGTGTAGCAAGTGACAACCATGTCCCCTTTTCTCCACCACCAACCTGTCTTCTTCTGTGGCACCTGCAACTAGCTCCTAGTGGGAGCAGCTAAGTAGGTGGGAACCAGGCTATGGACTAAACAGACTTTGCTGTCCTTCCATAAGGCAGTTCATAGGCACTTAGAGTCATGGCAGACTTACTCTTTCCCAGAACACACAATTGCCCTTTCAGACACATCCAACACTTTCCATTGATGCAAAGACATGTTTGGGTTTGGGTAGGGTTTTTTTTCCCCAATTGCTCAAAATGCCCAGTCATACATATCCTACGTATCATTCCAACCAGAAAAAACTCCAAGTGGCTTCAATGAAAGTGAAAAGGAGAATTTGGCCCATCTTAAGGAGCACAGGTTTGGCTTCCAGAGGCTGAGCTGTACCTGCTCATTGGAGCAGGGCATTGAAACATTGGAGCCAACAGACTTTGAACTAAGGAGAGAACCAAGGGTGAAACTTTGTCCCCACTTAAACCAGTGGCAGGGCAGGCAGTGGCACCCCAATTTGCCCCTGGGCTTCAGTGTTGGGCTTCAACACTGCTACCCTCTTTCTACTAACTTTCCTTGCAGGAGTAATTTTAAAATAATGTAATGCCAAGTGCCAGAGGGCTCACTCTTTACAACATTAGGTTGAATCATATCAACTCCCATTCTAAATATAAAATATGACTGCATTACTTGACTTCATAATTTTTATAAAGGTGCTGTTGTGGTGTGGTTTCACAAGTTATAAAAGCCCATGTGGGTATTATGGGTCATATCAGTTCATTTCATCTCCTCAATCAGCTACTTAAAAATGTTTTCCTTGCAGCACAGTAGAAAAAATAAAATAAATATTCTTATCATTTTCCAAGTTAAATTCATATTCCATAATGACTGTATTTCATGTGCAAAATTACAAAATATGCTTACATACCTGACTTCCCTTCTTTAGTGAAGTGCTTCGTTTGTAAAATGTTGCATATAAAATTGGAACCTAAAATGAATTACTTGTTTTTTCTTGATGTGAAACCTTGTTTAAGTTCATAGCAATTTTAAATATGATACATTTAAAATATTAATATTTCCCATATATTATTCACTGACTTTCAGGTTTCATCTCAAGTTAGTGGCACTTCATATTTCAAAGGAAGAAGTGTTTCTTTTTTTCAGTACTAATGTTCTATTAATTCACTTTGTAATATCATTCTGGTTCAGACAAATGAAATTGCACTAAACTGCTTATGCCAAGAACCATGCTACGGTTGTTGGCATTATATAAAATTCCATATTTCATTACTATTTTACAAGTTTTTTATATCAGTGGCATCTTTTTAGGCATAATTCATAGCCCCACTTAGTTATAGAAGGACAAATACATGCAGAGAAATTTTTATGCTGAAATGGGGGTATATAAATGTATTTAAAGTCTGCAACTTAAGTGACTTTTGCAAAGTACCAGATGCAAACTGCCAGTGAACTACTTTAACAGCTTTTCCTTTATGAACATTTTTTATTTTGGGCAGTTTCTCTTCCAGCATGTTTTTCATCACACACATGTATAAACATGCATGTACACACACATATACATTTGTCAAAAATAAATTTGTGTGTGTGCAGAAATACTTGAAAGGCCTCATATACATATTATGCAACATATGCCATTCATGTAATCCCTACATACATAAAGAAAATTCATTCTATAGATACAAATAAAATATGTGAAAGAAGTCCTTAAAGGACCCATAAAGGCCTAAATGTAGAGAGATTCTTCATCATATCCAAAGAACTGAAAGATACATGGATGTATAAAAAGATTGGTTTATATCCACATATCTTTTATAATCTTTCCATAAAGCCCACGTGGCCACATAACTATTTCCAGAGTTGTGGATGAAAGTTACAGCTGGATAGGCCAAAAATCTTTAATGAGTAAAGCAGCATCTAATCCTATGAAATGCCTTGCAGGAGTGAAATAATTACAAAGCGCAGGAGCAAGAGTAGCAAACAGCAGTAAAATCACCTGTAAATAAATGTGTGGAACTATAAATACACCACAGTATTTGTATAGTTGACTTTCTCTGACTGTCATCAAAATCGGATGTTCAGGACTCAGAAATGCAACTCCAAGGAATGCAGATTAATATGTTTATCGGAATACATAGTCTGTGCCTTAAACTTTAAGTTTGCAACATTGTTAATAATGTATGTTCCTTTTATAATGCCCAGTATTTACTCCCTTGGCAATTTTAAAAATAAGATTTTTTTCCTTAAATTTGATCCAACTCTTTTAAAAAATAAATTGCAAAATAACTGATGCAAATCCCTGTCACTTGTGAACACAATGAAATTATACAGAGAGGAGCAAATGCAGGAAAGGCTCCTCCTCAAAAATAGAAATGAATACCCTGTTCCTATACAGTCCTCAAATGCCAGGATTTTGAAATATGAATTAGACTTCGAATGCAAATTAACCTCGAAAGGGGAAGGGGGAGGAACAAAAAAAAAATCAGAGAGACATACCAAGTCAAACGCTCCTTTTTCTGCCTATCTCGTCCGCAATGGTAAAATAGGCTAAACAAAACAAGTGCACATCAAGATAGAGCCAATTAAGGAATAGAGAGCGGTGTGGGGGGGAGGGGGAGAGAGGGTGGAGAGGAAGGCACCTCACTGAGCACATGGGGAGTGGGAGCGCAGCATGCCACCATACCTACCTTACGAATGTTCAAAGGAAGACAACTGGGGTAAATTGGATCCAGCTTTGATTTTTGTCATCCGGTTGCACCCGGGTTCCGGGGGAGTGGGGTAGAAGGGTCGGTCTGGGCGGCGGTGGAGGGGGGGATAAAAGAAGTGGGGGGGGGGGGGGAACCCGGGGGGGGGGGGCAAAGGGGGGGCAAATATTTGGGCTTTTGGGGGGGTTCTTTTGCGGGGGGGAAGGGATAGGAAAAGAAGGGGAATAAAGGAAAAGAGGGACCGTCAGTGGCGAGGTGAGTGTGTCCCTGCACGCTCCGCACACGCGTGGGGGAGGATGAGGGGAGTCGTGCGGGGCGCGGCGGGAGCCCCGTCGGAGGTCGCGGAGCCGCCGGTGCGCTGACAGCGCCGGGCCGGGCGGGGCGCGGGGGCTGCACCTTCCCGGGAGCAGGGGGTGCGCCAAATGGGGGGAGAGGGGGTGTGCGTGGATGCGCCCCCCCGCCTCCTTCCTTCATTGCCTCCCTATCCCCCCGACCACTCTCCCCCGGCACGGCTGCCTCACCGCTCCCGGTGGCTCCCCGTTTGGAATTGGAGACCGGCAACTCTCACCAGAGCTCACCAGCATCCCACGGTCCTTAGGAAGGAGTTTGGGGCGGCGGGGGGAAGCGGGAGCGAGGCGGGGGGGGAAAGGGGGGTGTTGGTTGAGAGTGACGGTGAGGCGAGGAGGAGGAGGAAGGAGGAAGACTGGGAAGAAGGGGGTGGGGGGAGACGGAGCTCCTGAAATGGAGCCAGCCCAAACGGGAGACGATGCTGGAGCAGGGGCTGCGTCATTTCGGGGCTGGGAGAGGGCTCAGCTCACCCCCGCCGCCTCCCTCTCTACAGGCAGTGGGGAAAGACACCGGCAGGCCGGGGCAGGGTGCGGGGCGCTACGGGGTCGAGGCCACCTCCGCCCGCCCTTCTCTGCAAGCCCCCGGGGCAGGGACGGGGCGGGAAAGCCCCACGCTAGGGGAAGGGCTAAGTCACCTTCGGTCTGCCTAGAGATGTCAGAAAAGACGGGGACAGAGAGAAGCGTACGGGACACGTCGGCCTCAGGGCAGCGGGCAGGACCTGTCCCGAATGGGGGCCCGCAGCATGGCTGACTCCCACAGGGGTAAGGGGTCCCGGGACGGCGGGGGTAGGAGGAATGATCGGCATTTATAACGTCGGGGAGGCTCACAGCCTTTCAAAGGGTTTCAGCTAGGTGAGTGGAAATGCCTTCTGCCCCTTTCACATTTGGAAGCACAGCAGTCTTTGAGTGGGAAGAGGGGGGGAAAGACTTTTTTTTTCTCCTGCTGGACAGTGGGTCTCTTTGAGCCTATTGTCATGTCCTATGGCTGCGATTATAAATAAACTTTCCTTCTGCAGAAAGGAAGTAGCTGAGACTCAGAGTCTGAAGCTCGTGAATGGCCAGTAGATACCCTGGCCTCTGCTGGCCCATGCCAAGGGGCAGAGGAGGTGGTGGTCTAGCCCTGCACTGAGAGACTGCGTGCAGCATGCTGCATGTCTGAGGCAAAATAACTGGCCTGGGAACACCTTTCCTTCCTTCAACTATGCCCACCTGGTCCAAGGCAATTTCCTTCTGAAGCTCATCCCCTCAAAGGCTTCAAATACTCATGTTCACTTATTTTATTTTTTTTTAAATTCCTTTCCTACCTCTCCTGTGGTCTCATATTTAAAAAGTAAAGCTGCTCTTGGTGGGCTGAGATTACAGGTGCCATCATGGAGGCCCATGGTGAGCATCAGTAAAAAGCAAGAGAGAATTGAGTCCCCAGGCAAGATTACAGTGCTGGTACACAACTGTGTGTATTGCTGTCCAAGCCTTTTACAACACCTGCCACAGCAAAGGTGTTGCATGTAAAGTCCTTAAAATATTAGCCATAGTCATTATTGTTATGTGCATATAGATTTTAGCTTATTTTATGACTGTGTGTGTGTGTGCAATATATGTGTGCATGTACATACACACACATTTATATCTATGTATACATGCAATAGTGACGGGCCTGCTAAACTGAGCAGTGATTTCTCTCCTACAGATAGACGTATAATACACACATAGTGATGATACATAAGGTGTTTGGGGGTGGGGATGCATATCTTATAAATTTGAAGTTTTTATCAGGCAGAGCAGATTACTTTAAGCGTTCAATTTCTCAGCGATCCAATTTTATTAGGATTTACTATCATTTGTGCTGCACATCCCTGGGGAAATAATGCTTTGATTAATGTAATCCTGGGCTGGGATCCGCCACATGCCCCTCTCCCGAGAGATGGGCCCTGTTTGACAAACAAAAACAGAGCAGCAACTATTGCAATCTGCACTCACCTTTTGAAAGCACACAGGCCAGTACATATACACACACACAAAATATTACCCTCTCCTCCCCCCAACCCCAAATACAATAGCAGCATTTCAAAACAATGTGCACTTATTTATTTACACACAATGCCTCTGATTCAGTGTGGGCTGTACAGTCCAGCCCTCAAATGCACAGAGGCAGTCCAAAAAGGATCCTGCTCTGTCCCCCGCTGAGAAGCTGAAACATCTCTGGGAAGCTCGATGTTTCTCTGTATTTCAGGCTCTCCTCGGGCTCCCAACATTTCTGCCTCTTTGTTTCCCACTGCAGGCCTTGCTGCAAACCGATTTTAAGTCTTCTCCTTCAAACCGCTGGCAGGCCATAGGCCCAAGAAGCTGTCCTTGCAAGGCTCCCTGGCACCCACCTGGGGGGACATGTGCCTGTCTAAACGGGCCCTGGTAAGTGAATCACTGCCAGACACTCTGCTCAGTTCACAGGGAGAGTGGGGGGACCCAGAAAACGACCTCAAACAGAAAGTCTGGTCATACATTTTTAAAGGGAAGAAAAGAAAGTATTCCTCCACCTTTGGGGGTTGCTGGGGTTTGAGCAGCTTTGTTCCAGCCACCCCCCTCAACGCACCCCCCCCTTTCCCCCGCCCCTTCTGTTTGTGTCAAAGGCTGACAGGAACAATAGCGTTTAAACAGGAATAAACATGCCCAGATCAGAGCCCAGCCCTGGAGAAAGCTCTCCCTTTCTTTGCATCCTTAAGTGAACTGGCCAGTGTTTCCCCCTTTCCTCCTTCTCCCCTCTCCCTCATAAAACGACACACATCATCGGCAGCCCAAATAACCGTTTAATGCTGAATTTCTTTCCTTCACCCCTCCAGAACAAAGCGGGTCCCACTGCACATGAGGAGGACATCCAGCCTCAAAAAAGGGCTCTGGCCGCACTTTGACCACTTTATTTCAAGTCTGGATTAATAAATCCAGGGGAAGAAGGAGGGGAGGGATCTCCAGGCTGGAGATGAGGAGGGATGAGGTTTGTGCCGAGGTTTTTAATAAGCTGCTGCTCTCTCTCTCCTTCGTGTTTACCCACTGACCCCCAATACGATGACTCAGCGATTACCGAGCACTGGATGTCTGTGCGTGAGGGTGTGAGGGGTTGGGGGGGAATTCCTCCCCCTTTCCTCCTTCTTTTCTTTCTGATGAAAAACGTTGCAATTACATTTCTGCATGCTGATCTGAGAGTTCAAATAACAAGCCTTAAATGCGTTATCAGGCACTTGTTAAAGAGGGAAAGGGGAGTGAAGAGGGGAACAAATCCAGATGCATATGCTTCTGTACACGCCTGGATGTAAGTATACCTATATATCTGCACACTTATACACGCATATAGATACATTTTTAAATGACAGACTGCTAGAAGAAGAGATGGACTGTCGTTCGGCCTGAGTGCCTTCACCCTGGTAGATGAGAAAACAGCACTAACCAAACGAGAGAAGAAAGATCAAGAGGTGCAAATTACTCCTGGGAAAAGTTATTTAGACACAATCTCTAGATTTTCCCAGTGCAAACTGACTCTCCTACCGGGTTTGATCCAGTTTACCCGCTCCCCTTCTCCATCCCACCCTGAAGTGATTCATCCCTATTTCGCATTTTCCTTCTTTGAAGCATCCTTCTTTCCCGTCGCCCCGCCCGGGAGGGCGTTTTCGGGACCTCGCGTGGCCGCGGCCCGCTCCGCGACCGCGGAAAGGCCGGCGGAGCGGGGGCCACCCCCGGGGACGCGGAGTGGCTGCGGGCTCCCTGCCGGGCTTTCGGGTCCCAGCCTCCGCCCCCCACACTTCTCCTCCCCCCCCCCCCGCCAGCTCCTAGCAGGCGGCAAGAAATCGTTTCAGAAGTAGGGTGGTGGGGCTGAATTTAGAGAGGGGAGGAGGAAATAAATGCAAGGAGATGATGAATAACGTTAACTTTTGAATGTAGGAGTCATGATGGAGTTGAGCGAAGCTGCAGGGAAATATGTCATTTAATCCCAGGGCTACTGAAGTCCCTTTTATCAAACGTCGGGATGCTGGAATTATACTGCTGTAAAGTACTTAAAAGTATCCAACATCAGGCAAATATATAGATTGGAGGAATGGGTGTAAAATGAAGGCATGTACAAACTAATCACACGACCGTGAAAACCCCAAGCGGATTAGATAAATATAAATAGATGTGCATTAAAAAAAAAAAAAAGGCACGATAAAACTGTAGCTGCTGCATTCACACAAGGAGAACAGACAGCGTGTGCATGTTTGTGTGCAATGCCAAAAAGAGCAGCCTTAAGGTTGACCTACTGCAATCTGCACTGAGCTCCTTAGACAATAGACAAGTTCAAATGTCAAAAAATCTAATAATAATAACCAGAGCTGCCAAACTGCACGAACTGTTTTCTGGTGTATCACAATTATTCACCCTCTTATCCACTAAGAGACTGCCAGTCCTTATGTGCGTAAAAGAAAATCTATGTAATGCATATGGATCTTTTTTTTTTTACATGTGAAAAGCCATTGAGATGGCAAGCACGCAAATCGGAATGATATCATGTCTAATAAAAGCAGGGCTAAGGTTTTCACAGTCTCTTTTAAAAGACTCCAACTTGTAAATCCCCTTTTTATGTCGCTACATGCACAATTATTCTGATAAATAAAAATCTACATGTTCAAGGGTCTGGATGGGAACTATATATCCCCCTGATTTTAACATCGGTGGGAGCATTAGGTTTCCATCATATGTAATATGTCTACGTTGAGCTCAAGTCAAAAGATAGATTGTTCCATTCATTTAGCAACTCTCATTACAGTCTGTGTGAGGTGAACCCTGAGCACGACACATTGGGTAATATCAAAATTATGCAGCTGAGAAAGAAAGGACCCCTATTTTAAAAGCTATCTTGCTTTGCATGTGCAGTTCTGTATTATTGTCCTAATTTATTACAGAACCCGAAATGCTTTGTTATGCTCAAAACAATAAATAAGGTTCCGAGTGAAGCCTTCAGAATAAAAGGTACGGATAAATGATCTGCCTGCCTATTGTGTTTATCGTTTTTATCGTCAGACTTTAAAAGTAATCTTTGTATTTTCCTATTTTCTCCAGATTGGTTAGTGTAATACCCCTAGTGCAGCTATCAAGGTGGTCATAAGAACTATGAACTACAGCGTGGGTAAGCTTGAAAAACCCAGAGCAGCTCACGTTAGCCAAGAACGCTACATATCTGGAAGCCAGTCAACTTCACGTTTGCAGCTGACTGCCGTATTATGCACGAATGTGTTTTACATATAGCAGACTGTATACGGAATATGTCTTTATGTTTAACATTTTAATTTGTAAATGCTAATTAGGCAGTTGGTCTCCACGGTTATATTAGTACATACCTAATCATTTCCCACTATAAGTAAATGAATACTAAATACGGTAAACACTTTCATTTCCCTACCTCCAAGACAGTATTGCGTCTACACCCATTTTCCAAAGGCGTCCATTCGGACAAATAGGCATTTATTAAAAGAAGGGTGTGAAAAAAATGCTCTCTGTAGCACTCTTACAATTGGGGTGCCGCTGCAAGCATGAAGCCAACAATCTTGGCCGGACCAGACTCTTCCTAAGGCAGCCAGCAAAGTTTAAGTTTTATCGAATTAACTTGTTGCTCGTTTTAGCCTTCGTTTTTCACTTCGCTTGCGGTATCTCGCAGACTGCTGCTGCTGCTAACTAGTGCGGGCATACAGCAGAACAGCCGAGCTGCTAACTCCTGTTTTGTTTAAAATATAACGCAGGTTACGTTTGGAGGGTTGGGGGGAGGGGGGACAGAGGAAAGCTGGAGGGAAATCCGCTCAATCCCGACCCCAGGATGCTGAGCTTTGCTGTGGTCTTTCAACTCCAAAACCCTTCAGAGGTGAGAGAAATGTTCACTAAACTACGGCAAATCTCAAGCAAGCCACCACATTTCTGAAGAGAACTGCGCTCTGGAATGTGTTTTACTAGTCTGGAATATTGCTAGTGCTTACTGCGCCAAACGCGGTAGGTGGAAAGTTTTGTTCATGTAAATATCTCAACCCTTTTCCCTCAAGGTCTCTACGCACGGAGACTTGACTCCGTTTTCCAAATGAAGACCCGCGAACACTTTAAATGAAAAATGTAATTTCTTGTCGGTCGTTTTCTCTCTTTGATTACTTTTGTGTCCCTCTGTCTCTCTTCTTTGATTTTTTTTTTTTTGGGGTGTGCGTGTTTGCGTTAGGCTTTTAGGCGGGCAGATCATCTTGCCAGGTTCTATCATATTTATGGGCTGTGTGATTTCCAGGGTTCCAATTGGTCTTTTCTTCACGGAGGCAAGGAATAAAACTTTCCCAGTCACACGGAGAGTGCTGGGGCTCCAGCGCGGGGAAACAAAGTGGCTTCAAGCCCCCCACCCCGTGGCAGCAGTTCCCCCCTCCCCGTCCGGGGGCTGCCTGAGACATTCCCCTTGCAGGTGCGTTAAAGGATGCTGCAGCCACGCGAATCCGCCCCTGCCCAGCGTCCTGCCGGCGGACGGGAGTGAGAAACAGACGTGTATAAGCAGGAATAATACAAAAAAAAACAAAACAAAACAAAAACAAAAACAAACCAAACAAAAAACTCCCCTAAATTTATCACTTCCATCCTTTCTTGCAACCACTTGGGGAGGAAAGCAGAGAAAAGGGGCACAGGGCTGAGAGTACACGTGCTCGGGAAGGGAGCCAAGCTGTGTAGAGCTAAGCTGTGGTCGCCGTGGATGCTGTTGTTTTTAGTTGAGGATCACGTCTGCGAGTGTCCCGGACGGCGACAACTTGTGCCCGGTGTGCGGGCAGGGCGGGAGGAGTCCGGCGCTGCCTCTGCCGCTGGCTCCCGCAGACAGATAAGTCAGGAAGGGATGCGGGGGGGGAGGAGTGGCCAGCTTGAGGAGGGGAGGAGGAAAAAAGGGAAAAGAAAAAAAAAAAGAAGAGAGAGAGAGAAGAAGCCACTTTTCCAGGTTTAATGCTGCGATTAAATATTAAATTATGTTAAAAAAAAAGAGTAGTTTTATTGCATCTCCAGAGGTTTAAGCGCCTTATTCGGACATGAAAAAAAAAAAAGTGCGGCACCCCAGGTTACCCCGAGCCGCGTGCCCGTGCCTGTGTTTAATTACCGCTCTCCCTCCCTCACAGGCCCCGGGTCCGTCGGAGGTACCGCAACCGACGGGGACACTTTCGGGGCGGGCTCTGAATCCGCGGCTCCCCGCTCCTCTCCCCCTGCGCGCCGCCTCGTCGGTCTCGGGAGTTCTGGGGCTGTCTCCCCCGGACGGGGTGTCCCGGTGGCGGGGCTGTGCCGGACTGTGGGGCCCGGGGAAGCCCGGAGGTGAGCGCAGGGACCGGGGGGAGCCCGAGGGTGAGCGCAGGGCCCGGGGGAGCCCGAGGGTGAGCGCAGGGACCAGGGGAGCCCAGGGGTGAGCGCAGGGACCGGGGGAGCCCGGGGGTGAGCGCAGGGACCAGGGGTGCCCGGGGGTGAGCGCAGGGACCGGAGGTGCCCGGAGGTGCCCGGAGGTGCCCGCTGCGCCTCCGCCGCGGGGCCGTGAGGGGCCGGGACGGGCCCGACGGGCGGCGGCGCTGCAGGACGCCCCCTGGCGGGTGGCCGGCGCCCGGCGGAGCTCGGCCGAAGTTGATTTTGCTCACAAGCCGAATCGTATAAAATTAACTACAGCCAATAAAATTAGCTTACATGTTTCAACCGTAAAAGTCCAAAACAAAATAAAGCTAGTTTTAGTGAAGCTAAGAAGCTCTGGTTTGGCCCCGTTCTCTCTGGCTTGAACTGGGGTCCTTTTATCTAAAGCCCAGTGCACAAACATATAGCTTAATGTGACTAGTGTTCTTCCTTTTATTTCTTTCTCTATGGCAACCAATATGTTCTGCTCAGAAATGTTCCCCCATCAAGGAAACAAATGATCTTGAGGGAGCAGCTCTATACGGCATCTGTTCCGATGGAGCACACAGAGTTAACCCCAGTCAAAAGAGACGCTGGGCACGTCAACAAGAAGTGGAAAATGAGCGATTCTTCCTCCCCCTCCCAAACTGAAACCTATACCTCCCTAGTTTTACAAGCCATTTTATTGATTTGGCTATCGACCGTTTCCAAAGAAGTAACTAATTCTAGGAAATTACAATGATCACCAGCTACTGTGTGTCCAAAAGAGCAGCAACAGAGGGGGGAAAGAAAAAAATATGCAAATAACACAGTAAAATTAAAATAATTAAAGTCACATAATGGCATATTTAAGCCTCGATAAAGTTTTCAGGAGCAGTATCTGGCCTATTAATTTAACCCTACATTATTTATCACATTATTTATCACACTGACCTAAACGCTATAGAAGAGTTTCAGATCATTAGACTACACCTCTCAATTGGACGGGATTCGAGGAAAGCAGAGAGACAGGCAAGACTGTCAGGAGAGAGAAACAAAGTGAAATCTGGTCTGTAATCCTCCAGCCCCAATCTCCTTGGAGAATAAAATGAAGGGATGTCCTGGTTAGTTTTGATTGATTATACTCTTTCTGATGGACTTTCACTACAGAGCTCTAGATGTTGTGCTTAACCGTCTGTTCCCTAGTTACAATATTAACCCTCTGCGTGCATCGCCACTCCGCACCTTCCCCTGCCTCCCCCCGCGCCCGTCCTTGCGCCGACAGGTGCTCGGGTACCCCGCTCCCTGGCCCGGCCCCGGCCCCTCTCCCGCCTGCCGCACCGGCCGAGCCCCCTCCCCGCTCGCCAGGCGACCCCCCCGCCCCCCCGCGAACCAGCGTTTGAAAACAGCCTGCATCTCTGCCTCGGCTCCCCTTTACAAATCTGTAATATTTTCGAGAGCTTTCCTCGCTGCCCCCCACGTTCCCCCTCGCCTCCCCGAGTCCTGGTGTTACAATAATTAACAGTGCCCAGAAAAGTGAAGTAGTAACCAGAAAGACTTTCCAGCGCTGAAGAATTGCTTTGCTGCCTTGAGCTTTGGAATGAATCCATGCTTTTTATGTAATATTTCACTAAGGTGCTTTTTGTTGCTGTTGGGATTTTTGTTTTCCTTTCCCTTTCCCTTTTTTTTTCCAGCCTGTTTCCTTCCAGGCAGTTGCCATAGGTTTCCCTGTCTTGTCCTAAGCTCTTGAAAATATATATCCAGAAGACTTTAAAGCAAACAAAAGTAGATAAAAAAACGTAAAACACTTACCGATCATACTTCCAGGATTTAGAGAAATTTTTTTAATTTTTGATTTTAATAAGGTGACAGGGGGAAAAAAGCATGTTCTCAACTCCAGCGAAACGATCCATGTTAAGATTTTCCTTTGCACTGACTCCACTAAGCCCCGCTCTCCACTAGTCTATTATTTTCACCAAAATATATGAAAATTTATGCAAATGAAAATCAGCACTAACTGTTCTCCCCTTGTTATACTTTGGATTTTTTTCCAGACAAAACAATCTCACTCTGCAAGGGAGGGGGTGGGAAGAGTTGGGGAACGAAGTTGGTTGTTTGGTTTTTGTTGGGATATTTTTTTTTAAATAAACGACATTACTCCATTTCAAGCTTTATTTTTTGTTGTCGCTGTTATATGGGTGTACAATTTTTTTTATTTTGAGGGGATTTCTCCACCCCCCACCTTCCTTTTTTATTAAGAAAGTAGATCTGTTTGCAGAGGCGCTATCACGTTTCATCAGGCCACCTGAGACGGCTTTTGAAAGCATGTACTGTGAAATTCATAGCAGTAATTTAGACAAAATCCTCACTGTATATTAATGAAAGACGGCCCCATGGCACCGTTCCTATCCTCCCCATTCAGTGTAAACAAAACCACGAGACTCACTCGGTTTTTGAGCCTGATCCAAGCAAAATCGGCTGGAAAGGAAAACATGGGGTTCTGGCACTGACTATTCAAACGTCTGCACCTGGAGATCTCAGATTTATTCAATGAAATCTGTGTTGGATCTTTTATATATTAAAAAGAAACCTTTGGAGGACGCATGGGAACAAATATATATACATACATATATATATGTGTGTGTATATATATGTATACATAAAATCATTATGTTTGGTGTTTAGATACCAGCGCCCTTCAGATGCGCACGCTTCACTTGAATGTTTTTTCTAACCCGACCTACCATGGTATTTCGTGCTGTGCCAGCCGGGGGCTGCAAGGAGCCCCGAGCACCGGCTGCCGAGCGCGGCGGGAGCGGGGCGGCGCGGAGGGCGCTGCCAGCGGGACGCAGCTCACCGCCCCCCCGGGCGTGCGGAGGAGGGGAGCGAGGCGGGTAGGGCCGGGCGGGGGGGCGACGTTCCCCATTCCCATGCCCGCACCGCGCGTTTCCCTCGCGCGTGTCCCCGCCACCCGGGGAGCGCGCATGGGACGGCACGGCGGTCACTGGCAGCGCCGTGTCCCCTCCCTGTCCGAGCGCTGTTATTGCACCGGCAGTCCCCGAGGAGCGTTCAATTTGCCCTTGTTTTTGTTGCCACTTTCTCTTTTTTTGTGGTTCACTGAGGTTGCCTGCGCGCAGCGTTTCCGCTCGGTCGCATCTCTCCCCCGCGCCTCCCGCCTTCCCCCGCCCCCCTTAACTCTTTCCGTTGGACGAGAAATAATACAGCATTTCATGCCGCGGGGCTGGTTCCCTTCGAGTAGACCGCGGGCGAAGGGCCGCCCCGTCGGCGGGGGAGGTGACGAGGGGAGCCCCGGCCGGGCTTGCCCTGCCCGCCGCGGTCTACTCGAAGGGAACCAGCCCCGCGGCATGAAATGCTGTATTATTTCTCGTCCAACGGAAAGAGTTAAGGGGGGCGGGGGAAGGCGGGGGGCGCGGGGGCGGACCAAGGGAGGGGGGAGCGGGCGAGGGGCGGGCGCCTGCGGGGCCGAGCACCGGGGGGGGGGGCAGCTCTGAGCGCCGGTGCGAGCACTGCCGGCGGGGGAGGCGGGTGGGTGTGCATGGCAGCGGCACCTCCACACAAACGCCCTTCCGACCCCCGCCCGGCTCCGGCGTCGTTATTATTGTCGTTATTACTGTTGTTATTAATTATTACCGCCCGCTCTCGCCCCTGCCCGAGAGGCGGCGGCGGGAGAGATCCGAGGTGTGTGTGTCCGCCGAGCAGGAAGAGTTAAAAGGCGGAGGGAGGAGGAAGAAGGAAGGGGAGAAGGGAGGAAGGATGGAGGGAAGAGGGGGGCAACTTCCATCTCCGACACCGCTTTGCCTAAATTAAAAGGCAGCCAATCGGAACGGCCGGAAGGGGGGCCGCGCGGCCGGCGCGGGCTGTCCGTCACGGGGCGCGCAGCCAATCGGCGGGGGCGGCGCGGCCGCTTCCTCGCGGCAGGGCCGGGCGGTGGCGGCGCGGGCGGCGGGAGGGAGGGACACACGCACGGACGGGAGGAGGGAGGGCGCGGGCGCGGGCACGGCCCGGGAGAGGGAGGCGGGGAGAGGCGAGCGGCGGGACTCCGGCACCGCCAGTACGCGCTGCCAGCCCGGCAGCCAACTTCCCCGCTGGAGTTAGTGTATAAAGGATACCATATATGCACACACACATACACACACCTCTCCACCAAGGCGCTCCTCCTCCGCCTCCTCCCTCGACCAACTGCTGGAATTAAAATAAAAAGCAAAACAAACACCAAAAAAAAAAAAAAAAGACAACAAACCAAGCGAGAGAGCGAGCGGGAGAGGGAAAGAAACAATTCGCGAGGTAACGAGAAATTTCAACTTTTTAAAAATCTTTTTTACTTCTTTTTTTTTTTCCGACCGCCTAAAGGAAAGGTAGAGAGAAAAAAAATGTCTTATCCAGAGCGTGACTCTAGCAAGAAGGCTCCGACAGGACTCTTGTTTCAAAGGGGACAAAGTGCTCCAGCAACAGCACAACTTTGAGAAATGCATCATCACCACCATCACCACCATCATCATCACAGGAAGTTTTCTTAGGACACCAACAAAACTTGCAAATAAAAGAGCAAAAGGAGATCGAGGAACCGAGGAGAGAAAGACAGAGAGAGGCAGAAAAAAAGGA